CTTTGATGTGTGGTACCTCAGATACCAATCCTAGTCCGAAGACAGATGAGCACATTAAATGGGCGGGTCAAGTCCTTGCTTGTTATCATCTCTACTTTATCATCTTGGGATGGAGAAAAGGACTCACGTCTTCCTAATTTTTATGGGAAGACATTGCTTTTAAAATGTAAATGTGGTAGATATCTTCTTTGTAACACATTTGACTATCAAACTTATCTATCATGGGAACTTTCTAGTAGTGAGATGGGTCATTTCAAGCAAGCAAGAAAAGGTCATCTCAGAGAGGAAACAAAGGAAATGGAATGGGTGAATGCAACAGAGAATGACAGGTGGAGGGGCTCAGCACACAGCCTGGCTGCAGGAGGTCTTTCCTGCTCAGACCTGTGGGAAGGCCTTAAAGCAGGAATGAGCCTGGAGCCAGCCTCCTGGCTGGTCACCGGAGCAAACATCAAGTCTTCTGGCACCAAAGGAACCTGGTAGAAGTGTGGATTAGATAAGAAAGTCAGGCACGGAAGAGACTGGGAATGCCTGCTGCAACCCAGCTGTGTGGGGAGCAAGTTGTGAAAAGAGGCAGAAGGCTACCCAAGTAACAGAGGGGCAAAGCAGCTGCCATGATCGGCTCAGGCTTCTGAGAAGACCCACTGCACGGTCAGCAGGTGTGTGTGTGTCCCCTCCAGAGTCACACATGGAAATCCTAAGTGCCAAGTTGATAATGTTAAGAGGTGTGTTTCTGGTCATTGGAGTTGATTAGATCTGAAGAGTGGAATCCTCCTGAATAGGATTAGTGCCCTTACGGAGGAGCCTGAGAGGGCTCATTTATCCCTTTAGCCAGGAGAGCCCCTAGCCAGAAGCTATTGCAGCTACCCCCAGAGTGGGACCGCAGAGGTGGACCCGGAAAGTGTGTCTGTCTCTGTGCCTGGTGATCCCTCACTGCTGTGTCTCCCGTTCATAAGGCCTCTTGTCGGGGGTCCTTTAGGGTTGATGAAGAAAGTGCCTTTGGGGCTGGGAGATGGCTCAGCTGTGTGTTCTTCACTCGCTGCTCTTGCAGAAGACCTGGGTTCAGTTCCCAGAACCTTCGTGGTAGCTCACAGCCATCCAGTTCTAGGAACTCTAATACCCTATTCTAGCCTTCACAGGCACCAGGCACGTGTGTGGTATGTGTGTATACACATGTAAGCAAAACACTCTTACACATAAAATAAATAAATCTTAAAACATTTTTTTTTTTAAAAAAAAAAGAATGTGCCATTTGTCACCTGTAAGCAGTTGAGTTTAGTGAGTGGAAAAATGAGTTCCTATCTGAGCTCCACAAATACAGGCCGGGAACGTTCTCTTCTATAGTAGCAGCTGCAGTGTGTCCAGGCTTCCTGGGCATCTCTTTATCCACACAGCAGGTGCACAGGCGTTGCCCGGCTCCCCTTGCAGTGTGTGTACAGGGAAGTCTCTGGGTACAGTGTAGGACTTGTGCTCCAGCTCCACACCTATGTCCTGTGACTAGATTTAGGCTAAGAGACCATTTAATTGAACTGTCTGTGTTTTAAGGGGAAGAAACTGAGGCCTAGAGAACCACATCAGCTTACCCAAATGCTTTTGTAGAAACCACCTTTCTAGTATGTGTGCCCATTCTTTATTCATATTCGTTTCTTCTTAAATAGTTTTTGTTTTAAGATTAAATTGTGTGTATAAGCATTTGCCTGCTGTAGGTGTGTGTACCATGTACATGATTTGAAGGCTGTCAGAAGAAGGGGATGGTCCCCCTGGAACAAGAGTTACAAATGGCCACCATGTGGGTCCTGGGAATTGAACCTGGATTCTCTGCAAGAGCACTAAGTGCTCTCAAGTGCTAAGCCACCTCTCCAGACCCCATCTTTATTCCTTTACCTTCCTGTTCTGTGGGTTTTTTCCTTTGTCAGGGTTCTCATAGAAATTGATGTTACAGGTAAAATCTCTCCATTTTTTTTTTTCCACATGGTCCTCAGCATAATATGTATTTACTACCTGGGTATCAGTGCTGACTTTCTGCAGGTGCCAGTTACGAGTAAGTTAGGGACTGAGGTTTACGGGGTGAAGAAAGTGAGAAAGAGGAGGAAACTGCTCCTTAATCGGAGGGAGCTGCTGTTGGCATTTGGACAGACACCCTTGGCCTTTTATTTACCCTTTTTTTTGTCTTTATCTATCTATCTATCTATCTGTCTGTCTATCTATCTATCTATCTATCTATCTATCTATCTATCTATCTATCTATCTATCTGTCTAATCTTATTTATTTATTTATTTTTTTGGTGCAGGGTTTCTCTGTGTAGCCCTGGCTGTCCTGGAATTCACTCTGTGGACCAGGCTGACCTTGAACTCAGAGATCTGCCTCTCTTTTCCTCCTGAGTGCTGAGATTAAAGGTATGCATCACCATTGCCTGGCTTTATTTACCTTTTAAAGCATAACTGACCATTTCATACAAGTATTTTATAGTATGTATTTTTAATTTAATAACACAGACAATTCCTTACATTTTTAAAAAGTCTTAGGATAATTTTTAATCATGCTATGGCATTATATTAAACAGTTGAAACTGGTGTTTGGATCGGGAAATAAGCATGGAGGTCAGAAAGGCCAGTTAGAAGGCTGCTTAGAAATAAGCTTCCACACACTTCAGTCTTCATTGCTATTTTTGACTTTGCAAGAATCAAATGTTCCCTGGTATACACAATTAAATACTGGAAATAGATGTTAGAATTATTAGAAAAACAGACATTTCACACAACAAGTACGTTCTAAATCTTTCTAGCTTCTCGATACACAGTGCGTCCTCAGTTTCTGTGGTCAGCCTGCTGTGTGACTACTGCAGCTTCGAGAGCATTGAGGACTTCTCCCCTTCATCCCTCTGCTTCCTCAGCTTCGGGGCCGTTCCCTCCTGAATGAGACCAAGAGTTTTATATTATCCATATGAATTTGATCACGTGCCTGGCTTATTTAACTTAGCGTAGTGGCCTTTAGTTCCATCCATTTGGTCACAAATAACAGAATTTATCATCTGTTTTTACATGTAATAATATCCCATTGTATGGAGGTATCGTATTATTATTATCATGCAATGGAATATTGTTCTTTGCCTTTCGTCTATTGATGGGCTCTCTGAGGTTGATGGGTCGTCTCCATGTCTCGGCCATTGTGACTCTTGCTACAGTAAACCCAGGAGCACAGCTGTCTCTGCAGCTTACGGGTTTCATTTCCTCGGCTTAAATAGCTGTTCTTTCACACAGATGTTAGGAATGCTTGAAGCGCTCCTGTACAACGCTTCTGACAACCCTTTCCTGCTAATACGCTTTTAGGTCTTGTGTGTTTCTTTGGCTACAAATAGCCTGTTTATATCCTTTGCCTGCCCCCCACGATTTCAGTGTTGTTAAGAGGTAGGAGTTACATAATGCGGCTGCCTTTTCATGTTCTGTGTGGCGATGTAACAGCTTCTCTTTGACAGTGTTTTTCTGTGTGTTCTTCTTGTCATAGCTGTCTCTGTGCAGCTGGATCATGGTTTATCTGTTGATAAACACTGGAGCAGTTTCCAATCTGACGCAGCTGTGAACAGTCTTTTACTTACGTTTTGGTGCACATCATACACATTTATGTTTGACCTGGGCAGAATTGTTTCGTTTCCACTAAGTAACTCTCCACCTTTCCTCCTATGTTTCTTTTAAAAGTGGTGGGCTCTGCTTTTCATGGTTTATTCTTTCATCCATGTAGAATAGGGTTCCTGAGATTTGGGACCCTATTCATTCTCAGACAGCTCACCATTTTCCCACCATTGTTTAGGGACAACTATGTCTTTGTTGGCTCACCAGCCCCGCCCTTGGCTGCTGGGCTTTCTTTTGCACGGTTGGCCTTCTCCTGCATCTGCACACACTCTTATCTGATGCTTCTTCTGTTTGTGTGTTCCAGGACGGGGAAACGTGAGATACTCCAACTCAGACTGTCGTGGGAGGCACCGCTCCCAACAGTCTTTTCCATGTCCTTTGCTGTATCTCATACTCATTTCCATTCAGCGTGTACATGGGAGCAGAATTGTTTGGCTCTGTCTATTTTCAGCTTTAGCAGATATCACTGCAGCTTTTCAAAATGGTGTGCCGAGTTTTTCTCCCACAGCAGAATGAAAATTCCAGCCCCTCTCTCATCTTCGCCAAAACTGTCCGGGCTTTCTTCCTCCTCATTCTTTTCTGGTGTTTATTATCCTGTGTGTGTGGAGTGTTGGTGTCTCTTCATGGTGTCATTTTCCGTATTGAAACCGGTCAGCTTTTCAAGTTCTTGCTGACCATCTATGCGTCTTTTGTCATCACTACCCCCGCCCCCAAAAGAGATGAAGCCAAGTGGAAGATAACTGAGTCATTGGGGGTGCTGCCCTCAGGAAGGATTGAGGCCGGTCTTCTGGAATGGATTCTTTTTCCTGACAATGGGCCTTTATAAAAAGAGCAAGACTACCCCCTCCCAGCCTCTCACTTTCCGTGTGCAAAGTGAATACCTCTGGCACGTACTACCACCATTTCATGCCACCCACTGTGAAAACCTTTACCAGGCCTGAGAACAAGCCAGCACTATGATCTTGAGTATCTAGAACTTTGACTTCAAAGAAACTCTTTCTTTAACAAATTACCCAGCCCCAGGCATTTTGTTATAGGAATGGAAAATGGGTTAATTCAATGATGTGTAAATAGGTTGCAGAGCAGTGCTTTGCCTAATGAAGTCTCCTTTGTGGGATGAATTATAGACACCACATGAAAATCAAAACAAAACAAAAACCCTTCTGAGCCAAGCGTAGTAGTGGATACCTGTAATTCCAGTTCATGGCAGGTAGAGGCAGGAGATTGAAATATGAGGCCAGCCTGGTCTACATAGTGAGCTGAAGGCCAGCCTGGGTTATATAGTGAGACCCTATCTGCACTCTCCAAATAAAGACCAACCCTTCCAATCCCCTTCTCGTGCACTAAATGAAATTCCATTTGTTTGTTTCCAGCAGGACTCTGAGAGAGTAATGATAATCACTGGACCAAACATGGGCGGGAAGAGCTCCTACATAAAACAGGTCGCTCTGGTGGCTATCATGGCTCAGATCGGTTCCTACGTTCCTGCAGAAGAGGCAACAATTGGGATTGTGGACGCCATTTTCACACGGTAAAATGTTCATTCTCTTTGAATGTATCTTGTAATAGGAGCTGAGGCCACACTGTCCCACAAACTCTCCTCTTACGTGCGTGTTGGCTTTACACTTAAATCTCTCAGGGCTCAGGAGCATAAATCATTAGTCACCACACACATTAATATGGAAGAGACTGACCGAGGGTGTCATTTTCCTGCAACAAGTCTTTTTTTTTCCCAAGTCTTTTAAATGAGTGCTTTAAGCAAAATCTTAGAGAGGGAATCAATATCTACTACATCCAGGCTTAGCCAAAAGGTTGTGAAGAAATAGAAGTCAGTATTTGAATGGAGAAAAGAAGTTATGGTGTGCCTTCCAGCATGGGAAGCTGAAACTCACCCCTCCCTCCCCATCGTGGAGGTGGAAATACCAAGCGAGATTGTTTAATTCACATTTATTTCCGCTCTCAAACATTGCATGTAACTGGCCAGGACTTAGAAGCTCCATATGTATGCTTAATTTCATGCGTTCTTAGCAATATGAGTAAAATACCATAGTTTTACTAAAAGGAATTTATAGTTTATCTATTTCATATCTCCCAATTTATCAGTTCTTGAGTGGTCTGTATCTCCTGTGTTACAATATTTATGTAAACACAATATATGTAAACATAACACTGTATAATAACCAAGCTCTCTATGTGGAGTGTCTGTTACTGTCCAGTTTCATGGTTAGACACTTGAGCCTTGAGTCCTACCAGAACTTACCTATTACCAATATTACCAGTATTAATGAACTTGGGCAGATACTGAAATACCTTAAAATTTGCTCGTTGAAACAGTCTTTCTTTGGACTTTTGAGGGTCTCGCTGAAGGACGGATTCACTAGTCAAAGGCTTTTCAGATGGAGTGGCAGGTGCAGCCATCAGCATTAGTAGGCACAGTGGGAGAAGGACCTATAGGGAGGCCCTCCAGGAAAAGCCTGAAGTAAATCAGGACTTGGTGAGAGATGGGTCCAGTGATGGAGGCGAGATGAGTTGTCAGGGGTAGCAGTGGTGTGCACATCTGGATGGAGAGTCCTGGTACCTATGGAAGGGGCAGGAGTATTTTAATCTTGCTTCTGCTGAGACAGAATACTACAGACTGGAGATGAGAGAGGTGGCGGGGAAGGGAGGATGTTCCTATGTGCATGACCATATGGAAGCGAGAGGTCAGCTTGGGTGTTCTTCAAGAGTCAGGAGCCGTCCATCGTGTTTCTTTGAGACAGAGTCTTTCAGTGGGACCTGAGGTTTGCTAACTAATCTAAGCTGACTGACCAGCAAGCCGCAAGATGCTGACTGGCCAACTCCCCAAGTGCTGGGGCCACAGGCTTGCTTGCACCACTGTGCCTGGCCTTTTCTTGGTGGGTTCTCAGGGCAAGAGAGACGCTCAGCAGTGCTGAAATGCCCAGCAGGATTCTGTTCCTAGCAAAGCTATATCACCAGCAACTTTAAAGTGTCAGATCCACGCTCCAGTGAGCAAGGGATGTGGAGTGAGTCTAAAGTGAGGTGCCATTGGAGAAGAATGGCCAAGAAGAGGAAGCCAGAGGCCACAGAGGGACTCGTTTTATTTGTCATCGTAGGTTTGCACCTGTTTTAGTGCTTTCCAGAGGAGAGATTATGTCCAGCTATTTATGATCCTAACGAAACAACGCAAAATGTGTTCATCACTTTTGGAGGGTGTTGGAATGAGTTACAATGGTACCCAAACCAAAAATAATCGTGAGTTATTTTGGAGAAAGATGAAGTAGCTCTCCTGACTTGAGGGGAAGTTTTTCTTATAGAAACTCTGTGGCTTAGTAGCAAGAAAAGGTGCTATGGATTACAGCACCCTTATGGGTCCTTAAGGTACTTACAGATCTAGGTCATAGTCAGAAATGGCTCATGTCACCAGAAGAGGGACAACCAGACATCAGGTACAGGTTTGAAACAAAGCTATGATGTCTTCTGGTCAAAGCACCAAATCTAAATCCATTCAGATCTTTAGCTCTGTCCCAAGGTTACAGGAGGAACATGATGAACACAGGAACCTTTTCAACATAGGACCATGGGGATTCTATGATCAGAGTGTAGAAATGGGAAGCAGTGGAATAAATGATGGGTATCCAGTCTGATACCTGAGACTGGGTAGCTAATAAAGAGACCTGTTGGGCTCAGCTGTTTGATTATAAAAGTAACAGGTGCACTATGACAGATATCTAACAGGATAATGGAATGTAAGGTGAAATGAAAGCATCCTCATCACTACATCCTGCTTGTCCGTGGTCTGTTCATCCAGTGCCTTTCTCTACGTTTTTGCTGTATAGATGGTCTTTGAAACAATACCCAGCAGCATTTGGTATAGTTTTAAGTTTTATGAACACTGTATCGTACTAACCTATGAGTGGCCTTCTCCCTTCACTATATTTATAAATGCAACTGTGTGTGGAGATATATATTGTTACTATGCCGGTTACTATGTATGTACCACACATTCCTTGGCAGGGATTTAGCATGAGTTCCATTTCCTACAGATGTAAGCAGTATTGGTACTTGTGTTCGTTGATCACTGGGGCATAAGTTCTAGCTCCAGAAACCCCAGTGGCCTGGGCTCAGCCACCCATCCCAATACAACAGCAAAGGGCAGAGAAGGAGAGAAGCAGATAAAGGCCCCATGACCCTAAGCCCGTCCTTGGCATACAGACATGAGCTTTAGGTTTAAAAAGAAGAGGGATTAGGGCAGGGGGAGGTTTGTATAATGAAATGATCGTGGTTATGGTGTGGTCTGGTTGATCATTTTCTCAGTCTGGCTCTGAGAAATTGGGCCTGTCTAGTTCTTGGGTGACGATTTGTCCCTGCTCTAAGCTTTGGCCTCTGCATCATAAGTCATTGCTGTGGTGTCTTTCCTGGAGCCTCCTGTTACTTAATGGGGAGTTTCAGTTGCTTAGATACAGAATGAAGGCAGAGATTCCAGGCTTTCATTCTGCTCTCAGTTACATTATGGGTCCAGGAGGGGAATTAAAGTTTCTGAGCAAAAGCAGCTTCTGGGTGCTTGTGACACTGACTTATACATTGTGTGCTGTACGTAAGTAAATCTTCCCCATCTAGTCTATACTGAGGCGTAGAATTGCTAGGCTGTAAGGAACGTGCATCTTTCAAGTTCTCCAAGAAGGCCATACTGGTTAGGAGCAGCAGCGTATGAAGTTTGTCCTCATGTTTAATGCTAAATTAGAATAAGAAATACCCACTTGGTGCCATTTCCATGTATTCTCCGGATTGCTGTAGGAACATGTTCATTTCTATTGTTTAATGTCCTTTATATGAAGTACCATCTGGTAGATTTTTGTTGTTGGTAGATTTTTGATGCTCGGGAGATTTAGTCCCCTCCCCAATGTACACACTGTGCTTATTTACAAAAAGCTTTGGAGAATACATTGTCCTTCCTCACACCTGCCAGGTCTTCTGTTATAATCCAGTGACTGCTTCCTCTTCATCCTTTTGTACTTGGCTGCCCAGACAGCAGAATCTAAATTCAAGGATCGTGTGTGGAAGCAAGTTAGATCTGATACAGGAGGGTTTCTCTACTGTGATGCTTAAATAGCTGCTTGTTTAAAATGCTGCACTCTAAGCCCAGTTCTTGTGATTTCGAACTGGGATCTCTGAGGTGGTGCCTAAGCATTCATGTCAGAACAGTCTCAAGTTAGAGAATTACCACATGGTTATAATCTTTATTTAATATGCATGGCAATTCTTCCTGTAAAAGTAAGTGATTATTCAAATTACATCATTGTTACTTAAAAATTCTTTTTGTATCCATTGAGAAATACACTGTAGCTAAACTGAGTGAGATGTTTGCATAAGGTTTGGCTCCAGACTTTAAGCTGCTTGTTTTTGTGTTTTATTGGACATCTGGAACATTGGGCTTAAATTTGTGTGGTCCATAATTATCAGTGGCATGCCTGCTGCGGCTCCTACAGTGTGCCGTTGGAAGGAGACGGAGGGAAAGCTGCAGTCAGACACATGGTTGGGGATCTTTTTCCTTGAATATTATAAGGTCATATGAATGCTGTCCCGAGTCATTAGGAGATCTTTTTTTAAGTAAGTTTTTGACCAACATCTATATTTGGCTCTAAGTGATGTATTTAAATGAGTATATTAGGATGTGTATGCCCATCAGTGAGATGCCTGTTTCCAAGCATCATTAGCATCTAGGGCATCACTGAGATCAGATCTGTTGTTTGTCTTCCTGATATATGAGTGTAAGCTTAAGCCTTATTCAGCTTCTCAGATTAGGTAATTAGGTTTGAGAAAAGCAATGAGTTATTAGTGTGGTTAGAAAGTCATTTGAGAAAAGCAAAACAATTGTCCTCTCCTCTCAACATTATTTCTGTTTGTGCCAATAAAAGGTTTATGGATGGAAGTGCTTACAATAACTGGCCCCTAGTGGATAATTTGATGGTGTGCTGCCCACACTCTTCTTCTGTGGCACCTAGTGTTGGGAGGAGCCATATTCAGGATGGCATGGGTGTGTTTGTCTTGAAATAGAACTAAAAAGTAGTGGACGCTTGGTGTTTAAAATTATTTCATGTGTTTGCTTTTGAGCGGAGAGGCAATTTGTTCATCCAATTTAGTTTAACTCTGCAAATATTGGTTGGACACAAACTGTGAAGAATGTCCAGAAGAGAATTCATCCTTCATGGTCAGAAAGAAAGCATCTCAAATGAGTGCATCTTCTCTCCAGTTGTAAATACCCACACTAAAGACCACATGATAGATGGCATTTAACTAAAGGAGCAAACCCTCTTTCTTTAGTGGCTTCAGGAGTTTTGCCTTGGGAAGGTCTCTGGTGGGTTTAGTTGTGTAGCAAACATGAGATACCTCGCTCCTGCTTTTGGTGGGAAGTGTGAACTTAATACCTTTACTCGGATCAAAGTCTCCTGAAGATTTGCTGTGGGTGCGAAAGGATCCCTTGCTTGTAGTTCCCCGAAGGTACTGTACAGGAGGGTGTGGTGGAAGGGGCCT